GTAAACATTGTTCCCTTGGAAAACGGTCCTTCCTTTGAATTTCTTGTTGGGATCATCATCGGGAAGCTCGCTACCCTTCTCGTAACAAGCCTCGAAAATCCTTCCAATGTGGACCTTTTCCCCTTTGTTCTGGGCTTCTCTGATGACGCGCCTACACTCATTTACTCTGAACTCATCCCAAGTGCCTTTCTTTCGAAGGTTTTCCCATTCCTTGTCAAGGGCAGCTTGGGCCTTTGGCGTATTGGCTACTTCGGCTTTTGGCACAAGCCTAGCAACGACTGCACTGAACAGTTCAAGAGCAACATCAAATTCAACTTTCTTGATTCGCTCTTTGACCAACTCACGCAATTGCGGGCGATGCGGCTCCTTTGATGACTTGTCTCGTTCCGGAAGAACGGACATCGCAGGCGCGTGCCGGATCACAGGCAATGTCGGCTCGCCCTCGCGGGCGGCGCTGGTTGGCTTTGCACTCGATGCGGCTTCGGGGTGCTCGGATCTGGCCTCCGATGAGACTGTTGTCTCGAGCACAGCCTTCTTGGCATCTGCACGGAGCTGATCTTCATACTGCTGGGTTAGGGCCTTTCGGTCCTGGCTGCCGAGCATGACCCACATGTCGGACGGGATATCGGGAGGCCTTTTGGATCCGGCCTTCCTACGGACGAGCCGAACCCCATCCCACACATAGCCATCGGGTACTGGTGACCCATCAGGCATTATGCTTGGGTCGAATGCACCGCCTTTGTCAGGCACAACAGGCTTGATCTTCGCTTCGGATTTCTCCGATGCGGCAGGTTCCTCGATGTGGGCTTGCCCACGCTCCAACGGCACAGGATCGTTTCGTGTCCTAGCATCGGCAACAGGTGGATGAGATGCAGGGTCTTTCCACAACCTCATCGGGAAGATGAACTCATCAGTCGGAAGCTCAATGCGCTTTGTTCGCTGTACCGTGAGGGACGCATGTTCGATATGGTAATCGAGCCCTTCTAGTTTTGCAACAAGGAACTCACCTTTCCATGCGAACCCAGGCTGAATGTGGTACCCGAGAAACACGCCTTCATTTGATGTTGGCGAAGTCTTGCCTGCCTGATTGTCAGCTCGTGCAGGGTTGTTCCAGAACAGTACCTTTGCTCCGAAAGGTATCTCAGCTTCATCAAAGGTCTTGTGAAACCTGAGGTACCATGGCGAATCGTTTCCATTCAACTGCGGCAGGATGTTGGTCGCAACTGCATTGTGCTGGATTGCAAATGGCCACATCGACAGTGGGAACCCTGACTGAACAAGGTTCGCACGTGCTCCCTCCAGCAGATGTCTGATTTCCCTTTCCAAGAAGGATTTGGAAGAATCAACATATTCAATGGAGGTCTGACGACGATACCCCAACTGCTCTATTGCGGCTTTCAATTCTCGGGAGTTATCGGTGTAGAGAACCTCAACCTCATCCCTACCGGAAATGAAATGCTGGATCCCTGCAACGGATTGCTCCGTGCTCTTGCTGGTTGACGGGTAAACGTACCTGAACTGCGTACGCACGTCCTTGATCACAAGAGCACACCATTCACCTTTGATACCTTGCTCGATGTTGGCCTTGAGAATCACATGATCAGCAATGATGTGATCTCCAAACGCTTTCGTCTCGAGCCTTCCCTGCCCGCCCTTCGATCTTGCATATGGGGCAAGCATCTTGGCACGTTGGCAAGTGCGGCAAAAGGGATTCTTCGGATAGTGTGCAAACAAGTGCTCTTTGGTACTCGCTTCGGCAACCAGATCTTGCTCTTTGCGGGATCTCACAAACCGCTCAACTTCGTCGTCGGGATCATCACCTTCGTCGATGCCTTCGTCATGAACCGGTGCAGGCGCTGGCTTGGATGCTGCTACTGCACTCAACGATGGCTCAGCTTCACAGCTAGAATCCATGTATGGCACATGACCGTCAACCTTGAGCTGGATCAGAGCACCATCAGGGCGAACCATGGTTGGCGCCTTCCCGGATTCCCAATGGAAGGAATATCCTTGATCCAGACACTTCACACCCAGCGACAGCACTGCGGGAGAACTCTCGAGGATGTAAGGCTGAGCAGGCTCACACAATGCATCGACATTGATGTCGGCGATTTCGGAAGCAGTGATGTTTCCGTTTGCAGTCACAAGGCGAATAGGCTGAGGGGCCTGTTTTCGGATTGCCTTGGACGCATTCCTCAGTGCAGCTTTGCTGATGAGGTCCTGCTCACTACCGGAATCAATGAGCCACACGTCCTTTCCCTTTGGTGCAGGGGTGGCTGCCCTTGGCGCTTCGACATCCTTGCGAACATCGTGAGGCGGCATGGCAATTCTCAGGCACTCATCACACGACAGGCTTGAGATGGAATCGGATTCCACATCGCACATGAAACCACAAGCGGGCTGGGCTCCATTCTCAATGGCTTTGATTACGGCATTCAACTGGTTCGCGGCCTTGCGTGCTGCCTTGTTCGCCCCTTTGGTCGGCCTGGGGCAGTCCTTAGCATTTGGAAACATCCTGTTGTACTGCCGTTCCTCATACTCAAGCTTGAAACCATCGCCTTCGGCGGGGATCTCATGCACATGAGCATTAGTGTCAAACGACACCCCAATCGGATTGATCGGCTTTGCAAACATGGCGTACCTGGTGCAGACTGCAGCGGCTTTGGCCTTGGGCTTAGGCTTAGGTGAATTTGCACGCTTCTTAGCCGCAGGATTTGCATTGGCCTCGTTGCTCGATGCCGCGGCGGCTGATTTGCCGCCCGTGGAGGCATGGCTAAACTTGCATTTGTCACCTCTAGTGCACTTCCCTTGGGCAAAGAAAGAACACGGTGCTTTCTCTCCTTTATTGCCTTTGGGGGAACTCGGCCTGCCACGGGTCGCGGAGCGTCCTCGCGGCTCCTTGCGGTGCGCGTAAGGCTACTTTTCCCGGGTGTCCTTCGGCTTAGGTGCGCTCTTTTTCTTGGGGTCCCTCTTTTCAGGGGCGGCAACACCAGCCTTGGGCGTCGGGGCTTTACTGGCATTGACTTTGGACACGCGCTCTCGGTTCTCGCGAAGCCTATCCCTCTCGATTAGATCCGCAACGCATTAGGAAATCGTACGATTTGTTGGAATCATCATCACGGCAACGATCATATGTGTCAATGTCGTACCGCAACAGATGGCAGCTTCTCACTTGGCGAAGCAAGATGTCTTTCAACACCTTTTCTTCCGGCGGCCTTTTCATGCCGGCGATCACGGAATCCCAAGCGTTTAGGAAGCGCTTGAGATCAATGATTCCTTCGCCGTGTCGCGAGACACGCAACAGGTCCTCCAAGGAGTAGAGGTTTCCGGCTTCTTCACTGGTCTTGAAATATTGGTCAAACATAAACAAGACCTGCCTTCCTCTCATGGCCTTTCCCTCCTTGGCACATTCTTCCTTTGCTGTCAGGATTCGCTGAGCCAGATCGCCTTTCGCTGAACGCGTGAGCGCTGCGAGAATCTTCGTGTCTAGGGTCACGAATTTTCCCGGTCCGCCGAGCTCCTCCAACAGCTTCTTCTTGTCCTCGCGATCGGACCAGACTTCCATGATCCAAGGCCAAGCCTCGTCTGGACGGTCAGATGCAGCGCGGACATCCTCACGAACCGATGTCTTCCATTCACGGTACGTTTCAGGAGTTGGCATCTCCTTGAATCGCAACGTCTCGCTTTCGCGGGTTCTGGGCTTTTCATCATTCGTGTGGCCTTTCACTAACTTCATCAACATTTTGGCGAATGCTTCTTGACCGAGCTTAGGCCCGAGGCCATCACCTTCGTCTTCAACACCATCGCCATCGCCATCATCATCAGGTGGCGGACCGCCAGGAGGTTTACCACCCTGCTTCCGGTCAGTTGGCATTGGCCCCTGAGAGAATTGCAGGGGCGGGACCGGTGCACTTGTTTTCACCGGGGATCGGCTGCTACCTGTTGGCTTTTCAGCTGGCCCTTGCGGATCGCGAGCATCTGCGGGCAGTGCTTCGCTTTCGGCAGTTGGAATCACGCTAGGGGTATATTCAACCCCGTAACCGTCATAGGAAACAAGCGACCTCAACTTTTCCTTTGCATATTGAAATGGATTGGACAACGGGTCCAACATTGACCTTTGGGACCGAGCTGACTTCATGTCGTCGGTCATTAACTCTGGTGAATCCTCTCGGGTATCACGTACCCCTTTGGGCTTCGATCCATCCTCGCGGAGGTCGTGTTGCTTCTGATACCTCTTCAGCTCATCGAGCTCATCCTGCAGAAGCCCGTTTTGGTAGGCCATCATGTCAATCGTCCTGGCGTTTTTCGCGTCGACACGGGCTGTGTCATCGGCATGCTTGGCAGCTTGCTCATGAAGGAGCTGCTGTGCCTCCGCCAGGGTGGATTCGATGGCTTGCCTAAACTCAGTTGTTTTGTGTCCCATTTCCACTTCATGCAATGCTTGGGCGTTTTCCTCACACACTTGGCTTATCCTAGCTTCAGCGAAGTTCACCTCTTGGATGAACTCATCGCTTACTCGCTGTTCGTATTCACGAATTCTATGCGACTGGGCTTGCACACACTCAGCGTAGTGTGCATGCAGCTGATTCTGTGCGGCACGGAGCTCCTCACGGTTTTCCGCTTGCAAATGCATTGCAGGGAATTCATCAGGGTGCGGTTATACTGCGCATTGGCGCTTGATGCGAACATTCGCACACCGCCGCCGGTGGCGTTGTCGGAGCTAGCTCCGGCAGCATCCACAGGCATGTTGGATCCGTCAACTGGCACAAGGGAACCGTCCATTGCTTGGAGCTAGGGGCCTACGGCTGATAACCTATAGATTCAAGGGTTACCGGTTTGGGGCCCAAAAGGAAACAACAAACCGTCCAAGTGCGCTGCTCGCACATTTTCACGCTTGAACAGCCACACTGCGGATGCAACGGATGTAAAACCCCATATTGACCGATCAAATTCTTCATCTCTGTCTCTCCGTCTGCAGATGGTGTGACTTGGCTCCCCGCTGCCCAAACTGAACATCTAAATCATAGAAGAAGGACGACGGCAGCTTCAGCTTGTCGATCAGCCTGGGCTGAGACGAGGCTGATGTCGACTTCTCCTTTCTTGTAAGGCCGGGTTTGAGCTGAAATTATGCCTTGCCTGGTCAAGTTTTGTTTCAGAGAGAGGGGTGTGTAGCCCACATGCCAACCCTCACATGGTCAAGAGGGTGAATATTGGTACCTGTTGAAACAAATGTCCAGCGCTTCCCCCACCTTTCCCACGAGGAGCTCATCGACCAGCCCGTGGGCTTGCGAGATGCTGAGCGCAGGCAAGCCCTCTGTGTCGGTGCCTCAGATTTATCCGTAAGGAGAGACACGCCGTGCTACACAAGCACAGTGATGAATTCAACTGCAAGACAATTCTTGCATCAGTCAACTGCAAGACAAAAACAATGCATCCCAACTCTACCCCGGGCTTGGGTTTCCGACAGCGCGCCACGCAGTGAATGCGGTTGTGAACCCAGGATCTGATCGACTCAGCCCAAAGAACCGCTCAAGCGTCTATGATATGGCCTGGGTAAGTTGGCCAGTACAGATCTAGTCGTGCAGCCAGATTCTAAATCGTGGCCCCACAAACCCAACGTACTGCTTTCTGGTCAGGGCGTGCCATCTGCCATTCCCCTACTCATTGCATCTCTGGTGCCCTGTGCCCAAGGAGCCCAAGACCCGAACTCAGTGTCTTGGCCGCAAGTGAAAGCAAACCTCAAACTATGAGCATGTGCAGAAAATCCGGGCCTCCAAATGCTCAAGTTTCATACTGGCTAAATTTTCAATTGGACTGCCCCCTCCCTCCCCCCCCCCAGCCCCCTGCGCCTGTGGCGTACTTTCTGAACAGGACCCGCGTGTTGGACTTCTCGCTGCCAGTGTGGCTAAGGAAGGTATCGACGGTTTTGTAGGTGCTCTCCTTGCCGAGTTGATCAACTGGAGCAACGAAGGCATTTGAATTGGCTAGCAGGAAAATACTGTAATGCAAATTTACATTCCTTTGCCAAGAAGTTCGAGGTTGGCAAAGGTTTCAAAGGGAAACCAAGTTTGAGGCTCAAACACAAAGGGGAGACACCAGTGACAGATCGAAGGTGAAGGTGCAAACAGATCGTGTAATACCAAACAAGCCACGGATAACACATCGTCAGCAGTGGTGGAAAGGTGACCCTGTCCTGCGCTCCCTTGCCCACTCCCACAAGACAAGGACACCAGAATCACACTTTTGAGAGGTCGGCTGTCACGCCTTCGATGACGCAAGTCAAAACAAGGTGACTGGTGGCTCAAGTCACTCAACCCCAAGCCTAGGACGTATTATTTTGTTCATCATGTGTTCAAGGACCTGAACAAACTGAGCTTTGCCATTTCCCTTGTAAACTCCACAGGCGCGAGAACCTATCCAGAAGGAAATGAAAGAAAAGCGAAGCTCAAAAGACAAAGAGGGGTCGATGGATCTCGGAATCGTCCTTCACACCTTCCGGGAGGTTCTGCCACTGCTGCTGCAGCTGGCGCCTTGGGGGAGGCGTTGGCCCCCAGTGCTATTGATGAAAGATCTGAGCGGCAAGGGGGGACCTTAAAATTGAAAAATGATGTATTCCGCTGTGAGACTTCTTTCGGGAGCTGGCCAGTATGGGTTGCACAATGCTGAGAGGTAAAGCAATTCTGAAGCAGAACGCGCGAAGGCTTCACGAGCCCCGGGCTTCACGCTGCGCATGCTGCACGGGCGAAAGCACTCAGAAAGCTCACTGCTTTCAGCTTCCGCTGAGTAGCTATATCGTTTGTTCGGACAACCACGATTGACTGCTTAGGTTCGCTTTCGCAGACAGGTAAAGAACACCTCGTTGTCTCTAACGACCAGAATCAGATCCTTGTCACCCTAGACTCTGCCTGAGCAAGAGAGTTCAAATATGCTCAATTTGCTGTAGATGTTCGGGTGCTCGGTGGCCAGTGCCCCGTGCCGCAAATGGCTGCGATGGGCGGCCATGGCACGCTCAGGGCGCGGTTCGATGGGGAAGGGAACGCATTTCCATCATCCCTGGCGCCTTTCTTGGCCATGCCGTTCCTGACACGTGGTACGCTAAACCAATTTTCAACACTGGATCTTGAGAGAGCTCATAGCAAGGCTCGTGATGGTTTTGTTGCATGTTGTAAAGCCCACATTCACAACACAACGCCATGTCGCAACGGCACTGCGAAAGCAGCTGCACTTAGGGCAGCACATGTAGCAGGTGCTCATCAGCGGCACTGTGCCTTGACATGTACGTGCTCCCTCGCGTGCCTGCCTGTTGTCTCTCCGCATGTCTGTGACACGCTTGTAAATCCAGCCCGAGTTCCTTGATGCATACGGCATGCAGTGCGCTGGGCAGCAGGCACCGTGATCTGGGCTTTGCCATCTGCAGCCTTCACGGAGTCAATGACGGCCTGCGACAGGTCCTGCCGCAACGGGCCAGAAAGCCTTCCAGCGGCCCTTGTCTTCTGGAGGTGTCCAACCAATTGGGAACGCCCTGGTTGCCCATCAAAAGGGAACCAGGTCTTGTATCGTAGCCTTGGGGAGGATAAAAGCAAAGTCTGGGGCTGGCAAGTGAACAAGATGTACACACTGGTTGCCAGACTGATCACCATAGACTCATCCCAATTTGAGCAACCACCGTTGCTTGGCTGGCTGCATGAGTCTATACAAAGTTCGACCCTGCCCCAAACTCTGGTATTTGCTGTGCAAGAACCACCCGCCAACCGTCAGGATACCAAAGCGAAAGCTTCACCCCTGTACTGGGGGTTGGTTTGACTCTCTGAAGGGCCTCTTGTGGCTAGTTCGGAGTAAGATCTACTGAGCAGTTCCGCTGAAAGCTGACGAACCGTGCATCAAACGCCCAAAGCCTAACCCCTCACCGGGATGCAGGGACAGCATGGGTGCAGCCTCCCCAAGACGAACTCCAGGAAACTGTAGGGCTCCCCTCGCAGCGCATGCCGACACTGGGTCCTGCAAGTCTGCCGGCTTCTCCGCGGGCGGCCTGGGGCCACCACTGGGCTCAAGGCAAATCGGTCAAAACGACCCCCCCACCCCCCCTTCCGGCTGGGGTTTTGAAACAAACAACAGTGGGGGGGATCGGTGGCTGGCAGTCTTTGAATCTTTTCCGTGAAGCCAAGAAGGGGGCCCTCAATTTGAGGAAACGCCCGAAAACTCTGAATCTGGCCGACCCTTGCGAGGCGCCTCAGAAGCGCCTCCGTGAGCGTCGTCTGGCACGGAACTGACGGGTTTCAGTGTCGGTGTCTTCTTGAGGTTCCCTCTATGTCACCGGCACGGGCATCACCAAAAACGCACCTACTTCTACCAGTAGGCATCACCCAGGTAACATTTGCAACCGCGAGGGCAAATCAGCGAACCATGGATGCTTTTGACTGGCTTGAGTTGGGAGATCCACAGCTCCCAAACGGCCAAATGCATCCTGCAAAGGACCCCCCCCCCCTTGCCCGGCAAAGCAAAACAAACAACAAGAGGGCCTGGCCCTGTTGGTGGCTGGGCATGTTCCCACCAGTACCCTCAATGTTCTTGCGGCTCAAATGACTATCATTTTCGTCTCCTAGGGTCCCTGGCTGACGCGTTGACGCCAAAGTCCCTCATTTGGGAACGAAGTCAAATCGAGAACCATCAAGGTCGCCATTTTCGATACCTCATATTGGAGAGAAAGCTTGGCGAACTAAACCTCTGCCAAACCTTCCGCCAGGGTTGGGCCACTTTATGCCACTTTCATCACATCACGTCCTTGAGGCCCCGGTCGGCGCCTGGGGATTGAAGGCGAGCACTGCATCCGCCAAGCGCCCGCCATGAAGCAACGCCTCAGTCCGCGGCGTGCCTTTTGGAACCCCTTCTCCACCAACAACCGCCATCTCTTGAGGTGCCCTCGCAAAACCCGCAAACAATGAAGCGCTGACAACTATGGAAAAGCCACCGCGACCCGTCAAACCATACCAGGAACCACAAAAAAGCGACGTAAAAGCCCTGCTGGGCCATTTGCGCCCGCTCAGTTGAAGCCTCTGGGCCGCCACGCTCCAAAGCCACCCATGGAAGCTCCAACCTCATGGGAGCAAACCCCACGCGCTGGGACTAGGGAAACAGCACAATCACGGGCCATCCAACAGCCAATAGATGCAAAGGCCCCACGAAAAGAAAAATACACAAGCAATTTGAAGGATTTTGCCAGTTTGTCACGCAGTCTGCACGTGCAAAAAGAATGACAGCCTTGCAAAATTTCAGATTCTTGGGGCGCATTTGAAGAAGCGAAGCTAGGTGGTGTCAACTGGAGCACTTCCTACTACTCAGTAAGAGACCAATCGAACAAGCCGGCCTTCTTTCGAATTCTCTCCCAACATCATCCAACAGAAAAATCCTAACAGTAGTTGACACGGTGCTTTCCTGAGCTTGGTTTGTCTGGGTGTTTCTGTTGGGCTTCCCCTGGCAGCAAACCCCAAATGGGTACTCAAACGACGCACACATCCAGATACGCCACGAGAAGTGGACATATGGCATCTCAGGCCGAAGCAAAGAGCATCTTCTCATACCTCGGCCGCAGCTGCCTGAGAGCAGCTTCCACCGCCGGACCTCGGACTTCCAGCTGGAAGCCCGCCAAGGGCCCATGTGAGCCCTGGTGTACGGACTGTGCAAGTCTTCATCGGTTGCTTTAAGAAATGAAAGGTCAAAGAACCTGGCGGCAGTCGCTTTTTCCACCACACCCACTGCAAGTTCTTGGGCTGAGTTCCACTTTGGAAAGGACTCCAACCGCTTCCCTCCGAGGTGAGGCCCTGACGGTCCTCGTTGTACCATCGCATGCGGTGGTCCACCACAGTCAGCCTCGCAAACTGGCGGAAGCTCCCTGGTTGACGTTGACCAAAGACCACGGCAAAAGCCTGATCTGGTTGACCTCACTGGTGAAACCCGGGGCAAAACGCACACCATTTCCTTGCTTCGAAAGGCACCTGCACTCCTTAGCCTTGAGCCATGTTGTCTCTGACCACCATTCTATCCACAACTTTGCATGCTGTAACCTGTAATCCTGGCCTCAGGTGGTGGGAGATGAATGAAGGTCAGGTCTTACCAAGCTCTTACCAAGCAAACTCTATGAAGCAAATCCGCAAAGAGAACAAATGCCGGCCTCACTTCCCAACCAAGCGCGTCACACTCCACCAAGCCACGTGATTCTAAACATCCCGTCTAACTTCATTGATCAAACAAGCATCAGATCCAAACTGTTGGATTGTTGGATAAGGGCAATTCACTTTTTTGAGAACCTCCCAACAGAAGAGAAGACCGTCAATACACGCGCTCCAGTTTCCCAAGTTTGCACTGTTTCCACTGAGGCGCTCGCACGTCGAAATCCGCCAGGGGCAGCGAAGGTCGATCCCACTCCTGGCTTGACATGTCACAGCGAGTCGGATTTGACAAGACCAAGAGGATCTTTCAACAACTGTGGTTGGAACTTCTTAAATTATGATGTGGCAGCTAGCCACACATGTCCCAAGGTTCCAACCACAATTGTCAACAATTGTGGTTTCAACAATTGTGCGGGCAAAGCCTACCAAAGGCTTCGTTGCATTTTGCCAGCGAGAGGGCAGGCAGCGGGAGCCACAGGCTGACAAGCTCGATTGCGGAGACCGGAATTTGAGGCCTGTGTCAGTTTGCAGCCAAATTGTGGATTGGAAGCGCCCTCTGCAAGCTCAGTTCTCGAAAGCCCTTTGGCCGATGCCCCACCTCCTGGACAACCTCATCCAGCTGGCAAGGGGCATACGCCCAAAACCTCCCGGGCTGGATCGGAGAGTTTTCCTTCTTTTGACTATAGTGCACTATACGGGCCCCCCTGAAAACGGTTTCGACAGCTCCAAGGGGTCCATGATTTTGCAGTCAAAGGTATCTGGTGCCAGTTGCAGTTGCCTTGAGATGCGTGTGTCAAAGTCCTCGTCATCTGCCTGCGCAGTGGGAGCAATACTCGTCCAGCCGACGAAGCTTTGGAGGCCAACAGGCTACAAATTGCAGGTTCTTCTTGGTTTCCCCCAAACAAGTCCCCAACAAGGACACGTGATCTGGAGCAGCTGGTGGAGACTGTGATTCGCGCGCGCGAATCCCGACTCCCGAATCCGACAAGTGTATCCTCAAGAAAGGCCACACCAAAGCCCCCGCGCAAGCGGGTCCGAAAACTCCATTCGGCCTCGACCCACTCCGTAGGCGGTGCGAACGGCGACACCTCCCCCAGCTCATGCAGCCGCCGCAGAAAGCCCAGCCACTCTGGTTCGGCCTGCGGAAAACTTTCGAGCTGAGATACCCTCCCACTATGACGAATCCTCCACAGGGCGCCCTCTGCTGGCAGGAGTTGTAACCATGGTTGTGAGTTGTGACCTACACGTATACGTGACATGGCCAAGCACGCACGAGGTTCTCAAACATGCGAGCATCAACCTTACCCGCAGAATGCCAAAGCAAATATGGCAATGGACAAGTTCGCCAAAAAAACACACGCACCCCATACGTGCACGTTATTGAGATGCGTGCTTGGACAAACCCAGCCAACTGCAAAGGCCCAATGCAGCACGATGCAAACATATGCAAACTGCCAATCAATGTAACATGATGACCGCAAAGATGAGCCAAAAGACGTGAATTTACATTGTAAACCAAAAAGGTTGACCTCGAAAGGATTCGCACCAATGGGTTTATCTCCAGAATTAGGAACCCCCAAGGGGGTTCCCTTCTCCCCAACCCAGACGTCCAAAACCAAAGAACTCGCTGGCGCGAGTCTTCCCGAGCCCCGACTCGCCAGCGTCGACGGCCTGCGACGCCGCAAAGGCCACCACCAGCAGCGGGCTGCGACCCGCCGCGCTCTGCGGCGGCTCCGTGGCGCGGCCCGGCGCCCTGGCGCCGAGCGCACTTCTGAGAAGCTCCAGTGCTCGGCAACGGACTTGCTCTTCAAAGAGCCGGAGTCCCGGCAATGGACAAACTCGATGACACAAATGAGAGCAGGCCCTGTGTTGGCTAAACCTGGCGTGGACCCCCAAGCATGGGGCCTCCAAAATGAGAGTTCTCCACAAATGAGACCACAAAATGCTTGAGCATGGTGACCCCCACTTCCGATAGAAACACCTTGGGCTCCACTTTCTTTGCCCCACAACCAAATGGTCACTTGGGTGTTCGCAAATGTGTAAACTCGGGTCCGTGACAGGAGGAGGATCTTCAGTTAGCTAGGTGTTTGCCTGGCCAAAATTCTCACTTCCTGGAGGCCCTCGGGGCCCTCGGGTACCTCCAACCCTTTGAGCCATAGCAGTAGTCATAGCTCTACATGTCTATGTCAGTTTCAAGGCGTCATTGGTCCGGTTGTTTATCCCTCAGTGCCAAGCCCATGCCAATAGTTGGCTTGCCGCACTCGCCTCCTCAGCTGACTGGCCCTGGTCAGCTTCATAACGATCTGGCAGTTGAGCATTGGCAGCATCTCCCCCACGGACACTGCTTCCGGCAGCACCGGATCCTGACTGGGACGGGGAACCAGATAGGAAGGGTCAAGTGTTGCACTGTGCGACCACGGCCGTCCGAGCAAGGGCAACATGTTCACAACCGGCGGCTTCGCTACATGCCTAGCTGTTGCGGTTCTCGCTCATGCAAAGAATATGGGAGCAAACATGCCATCACCATCATCTTCTTCTTCTTCTGCTTCTTCTCGTTGCTGCTGCTTCTGCCGCTACACACCCAAGAACAAACAAAAGCAACAAACGTGACAGGAACAATGGAGGAGGAAGTGGAAAAGAAATGAAGGAAAATCATAACATGAGGGACTCTCATCTGGCTTGCGGGTTTCCTCTGGAACCAGCCAAAGCCTTCCCCATTTGAGACACGCACACACACACACCCATCCACCCACCCACCAACCCACCCACCCACCCACCCACCCACGCACGCACGCACGCACGCACGCACGCACGCCCGCGCCCGCCCGCAAACGCACACGCACAGACACCCACGCCCGCACGCGCACGCGTGCGCGCACGCACACGCACGCGCACGCGCACGCGCACGCTCACACGCACAGACACAGACACACACGCACACGCACACGCACACGCACACGCACACGCACACCCACACCCACACCCACACCCACACGCACACGCACACCCGCACACACACACACACACACACACCCACCCACCCACCCACCCACCCACCCACCCACCACACCCCCACCCACCCACCCACCCACCCACCCACCCACCCACCCCCACCCACCCACCCACCCACCCACCCACCCACCCCCACCCACCCACCCACCCACCCACCCACCCACCCACCCACCCCCACCCACCCACCCCCACCCACCCACCCACCCCACCCACCCACCCACCCACCCACCCACCCACCCACCCACCCACCCACGCCACCCACGCACCCAACCACCCAACCACCCAACCACCCAACCACCCTACCACCCAACCACCCAACCACCCAACCACCCAACCACCCACCCACCCACCCACCCACCCACCCACACACACACACACACACTTCTCTGAACTCCGAGCACCCTCTCCCATCCCCATGGCTACTTTGTCGCTTTGAAGGAAGTGCCATTGGTATGACAAGCCTCGTTTTGCAAACCACTTGAAACACTTGTGTAAACAGCCTTCGGTCTTCCCTTGAAAGGCGGACCAGGCTCTCATTGTTCAGTTTGGATATGACTTTAGCCCTTTGGTGCTTATGGTGCTATGTCTTTGGATTTATGCAAGCACCAACTCAACACTTGCTTGGCGCTAATTCTTAAGCAGCCTGGGCATGAACTCTCAGGCTGCCGCCAGCCCCCCTGCTACGGCAGCCTCCTTCACCTAACAGTCGCCAGGCCATCAGAGACGCTCCCATGCCGGTGAACGCGACTCAATTTACACGTGCAATTGCCACGCGGCTCGCAAAGTGGCTCAAACATCCAAGTCAGTACTTCCAGCTGGATTTTGAGAAATTCGAACCCCTACCAAGCTTTGTGCTCGCAAATCTGATATTAACAAAGAAGGGTCAATAAAACATATTTGTCTTTCCAAGTCTTTCTTCTA